AACAATGGTCAAGGATGATCCTCCCAAGAAAGTTGCTGCTCCAGTGTTCAGTGAGCAGCTTCCCAGATGGGGTGGAAGAGCTGATTTTATTCCATATTCTATGATAAGGAATTGTAATCCTTTTCTACAAGAAGTAAGTGGAGAATCTTATGATCACTATTAGAGGAGCCCTGCCTCCAGCCAGATGGAGGAGAGGGACAGTCAGGTTTACTGGACTGTGTGGATCAGGTGGCCTGGCGCATCAGTCCCACAGGAGTATAAGGCTTTAGTAGACACCGGTTCCCAGTGCACCCTGATGCCACCAAGCTCTCAAGGGGTGGAACCCATTTGTATTTCTACAGTGACAGGAGGATCCCAAGAGTTGACTGTACTGGAGCCTGAAATCAGCCTAACTGGGAAGGAGTGGCAAAAGCACCCTATTGTGACTGGTCCAGAGCCTCCGCGCATCCTTGGCATAGACTAGCTCAGAAGAGGGTACTTCAGAGATCCAAAAGGGTACTGATGGGCTTTGGTGTCGTTGCCCTGGAGACGGAGGAAATTAAGCAGCTGTCCACCTTGCCTGGTCTCTCAGAGGATCCTTCTGTTGTGGGGTTGATGGAGGTCAAACAACAAGTGCCAGTCGTGACCACAACAGTGCACCGGTGGCAATATCACACCAACTGAGACTCCCTGATTCCCATCCATAAGCTGATCCATAGACTGGAGAGCCAAGGAGTGATCTGTAGGACACGCTCACCCTTTAATAGCCTTATATGTCCAGTGTGAAAGTCTAATGGAGAGTGGAGACTAATAGTAGACTATCGTGGCCTGAACGAAGTCGCAGCATCACTGAGTGCTGCCGTACCGGACATGCTGGAACTCCAATATGAACTGGAGTCAAAGGCAGTCAAGTGGTATGTCACAACTGATATTGCCAATGCATTTTTCTCAATTCCTTTGGCAGTGGAGTGCAGGCCACAGTTCGCTTTTACTTGGAAGGGCGTCCAGTACAGTTGGAACCGACTGCCCCAGGGGTGGAAACACAGCCCTACCATCTGCCATGGACTGATCCAGACTGCACTGGAACAGGGGCAAGCTCCAGAACACCTGCAATACATTGATGGCATTATCGTGTGGGGCAATACAGCAGAAGAGGTCTTTGAGAAAGGGAGGAAAATTATCCAGATCCTGCTGAAAGCTGGTTTTGCCATAAAATGGAGTAAGGTCAAGGGACCTGCAGAGAAGATTCAATTTTTGGGAATAAAATGCCATGATGGATGTCACCAGATCCCCACAGATGCGATCAACATGATAACAGCAATGTCTCCACCAACTAATAAGAAAGAAACACAAACCTTTCTTGGGCGCTGTGTGGTTCTGGTGAATGCACATCCCAAATCACAGTTCGATTGTAAGCCCTCTCTATCACATGACCCAGAAGAATGATTTTAAATGGGGCCCTGTGCAACAACAAGCCTTTGAGCAAATTAAACGTGAGATAGTTCATGCAGTGGCCCTTGGACCAGTCTGGACCGGGCCAGATGTGAAAAATGTACTGTACACCATAGCCAGGGAGAATGGTCCTGCCCGGAGCCTCTGGCAGAAGACTCCAGGGGAAACTCGAGGTTGACCCCTCAGCTTTTGGAATCAGGGATACAGAGGATCTGAGGCCATCTATATTCCCACTGAAAAAGAGATACTGGCAGCCTATGAAGGGGTTTGAGCTGCTTCAGAAGTGATTGGCACTGAAGCACAGCTCCTCCTGGCACGCCTGTTACCTGTGCTGGGATGGATGTTCAAAGGCAGGGTCTCCTCTACACATCATGCAGCCAATGCTACATGGAGTAAGTGGGCTGCTCTAATTACACAACAAACTCCAACAGGAAATCCCAGTCATCCAGGAATTCTAGAAGTCGTCATGGACTGGCCAGAGGGCAAAGATTTTGGAATGTCACCAGAGGAGCAGGTTATGCGTGCTGAAGAGGTCCCACCATATAATCAACTGTCAGACAGTGAGAAGCAATATTCCTTGTTTACTGATGGGTCCTGCCGTATTGAGGGAAAGCATCGGAGATGGAAGGCAGCTGTATGGAGTCCCTTATGACAAGCTGCAGAAACTGCTGAAGGAGAGGGTGAATTGAGTCAGTTTGCCAAGGTGAAAGCCATCCAGCTGGCCCTGGACATTGCTGAAAGAGAAAAGTGGCCAGTACTTTATCTCTATACTGACTCATGGATGGTGGCAAATGCCCTGTGGGGGAGGTGCAGCAATGGAAGCAGAGGAACTGGCAGTGCAGAGGTAAACCCATCTGGGCTGCTGCACTGTGGCAAGACATCGCTGCCCGGGTGCAGAATCTGGTGGTGAAGGTACGCCATGGAGATGCCCATGTACCCAAGAGTCGAGCCACTGAGGAATACCAGAACAACCAACAAGTGGATAAAGTGGCTAAGATTGAAGTGGTTCAGATGGACTCAGATTGACAACATAAGGGTGAATTATTTTTAGCTTGCTGGGCCTGAGGCCCAGCAAGGCACCTCAGGCCATCAAGGCAGAGATGCAACAGAAAGGTGGGCTCATGATTGAGGGGTGGGTTTAACAATAGACACTATTGCCCAGGTTATTCATGAATGTGAAACATGCTGCAATTAAGCAAGCCAAGAGGATGAAGCCTTTCTGGTATGGAGGACAATGGCTGAAGTACAAATACGGGAAGGCCTGGCACATTGACTGTATCACACTCCCACCACCCTGGCAAGGCAAGTGCCATGTGCTTGCCATGGTGGAAGCAACCACGGGATGGCTGGAAACATACGCTGTGCCCCACGCCACTGCCCAGAACACTACCCTGGGCCTTGAGAAACAAGTCTTGTGGTGACATGGCACCCCAGAGAGAACCGAGTCAGACAATGGGACTCATTTCTGGAACAACCTTATAGACACTTGGACCAAAGAGCATGGCATTGAGTGGGTATATCACATCCCCTACCATGCACCAGCCTCTGGGAAAATTCAACGGTCTGATGGACTGTTAAAAACTACACTGAGAGCAATGGGTGGTGGGACTTTCAAATGCTGGGATACGCATTTACCAAAAGCCACCTGGTTGGTCAGCACCAGAGGATCTGCCAACAGGGCTGGCCCAGCACAGTCAGAACTTTTACATATTGTAGAGGGGGATAAAGTTCCTGTGGTGCACATAAAGAATTTGTTGGTGAAGACAGTCTGGGTTATTCCTGCTTCAAGGCAAACCCACTCATGGGATTGCTTTTGCTCAGGTGCCTGGATGTACTTGGTGGGTAATGTGGGAACATGGGGAAGTCCAGTGTGTACCTCAAAGGGGTTTAATCTGGGGGGAAAACAGTCAATGAACTCATATGACGTTGCCTGCTATACAACGCTTCTATAGCCCATCAGCCAGATGCCCATCTCTACCACTGTGGGCTTTGAAAAGAAGATACGTGCTGTCGTGAACGTCAGTGGAGAATAAAGTCATAAGAAAGCCAAAAGCAGCAATAGAACCGTCCTCAGGTCAGCATCGACTGACCTTGACTTCCCTCCGAACATCATCCCAACAAAGAATGAACTTTGATGAAACCAGACAAGCTCAGCAGTGACCAGATGAGTTCAGCGGTGTCGTCAACAGGCAACAACCCATCCCAACACACTGTCTCTCCTGCCCTGAGAGGCTGTTGCAAGAGATGGAGCCTGACATCGTGGACTGAGTGAATTCAGCAAACTTTATAGGGATGGTCCATGGACTAAGGAATGGTATCTCTGTGTGTGTGTGTAAATATATGAGACAAAAAGCAATGGTATAGTGAAAAAAAAAGGGATCTGAGCATGACCTAAATGTCATGGATATTCCATGGGTGGATACTGTCATGGGTTCAGCTGTGCAGTGCTGTTTTCCACTTTAGTCTAACAGTGCTGTAACACACCGATATTTTAGTTGTTCCTAAGTAATGCTTATGCTGATCAAGGACTTTCCAGTTTCATGCTCTGCCAGTGAGGAGGGGCATGGGAAACCAGGAGGAAGCAGGGAAAGGACACCTGACCCGAACTAGCCAAAGGGATATGCCATACCACAGCATGTTATGCCTAGTATATGAACTGGGGAGAGATACCTGGAAGGCCCAGATAGCTGCTGAGGTCTGGCTGGGTATCGGTTGGTGGGTGCTGAGCAATTGTATTGAGCATGACTTTGTGCTTATTGGTTTGTTCTTTCGTCTCCCCTTTTAGTTGTATATTCCCTCCCGTGTTACTTCCCTCATAATTATTACTATTGGTGGTAGCAGTAGTGGGTTTGTATTGTACCTTAGTTACTGGACTGTTCTTATCTCAACCTGTGGGATTTACATTCTCTTGATACTCCTCACCATCCCTCTGGGAGCAGGGTGGAAGAAAGGGGAGAGTGAGCGAGTGGCTGCGTGGCTCTGAATTACTGGCTGGGCTTAAACCATGACAAGCAGTCAATGCTGAAACTCCTTTTATACACCTATGACAGGGTTATTCATCAAAGACAAGACACCAAATCAGGGAGCCAGAGGACAAAAGAGGAAGAAAAAGCCAGATACATGAACAGTGTGTGGTTTCTTTGTCATGTTACTTTATGTAACTTCACAGAACTGTTGCCATAGGAACATTATGCAGGGTACACTTATAGATTGGCTTTATGGGGTTTTCCATGTACCAAAATATTTCTTCAAGTATTTACTGAAACATTAACCTTTCTCCTTTGGATTTTGATTTAGTGTCACACACAGTAAAAAGCTACTGATGAGCTCCCAGCTTGCTGCCTGGTGGTGGAAGCTTTTAACACCAAAGGAGAAAGAAAGCCTTCTGCATTCTTGTTTAGGCAGATGAAATCCCAAGTTACTGATCTTCTCTGGGTCACAGCGACAGCATCATCTCCCCTACCACTGAAAGGAAGATCTAATTTCTTGAGCATCAAATACACTCTGAAAGCTGTCAGTTCACATGACATATTGCATGTTAAATAACTCCAGTAAAACTCAAGTAAAAATCCATTTTAACTTTGCTGTATTTATATACTATATAAATTTTACATGCTATATATTTACAGTGGGGCAAGTGCTTTTTATCTTTAAAAAAACAAAGATCAAACTTTAGACATCTCTGAACAACACAGCTTGTATAAACCAGACAGATTATTCAGATGAACTGTATTTAATACAGGTTCCCCACTCATCTCCTGATGCAGGACCAGTGAATAAGTGCATCACAGTTTGATAGCATTTAATAACAAAAATTAAAATCACAGTATGAATTTGTCTTTAGCTAGCCACTTTAGAGAGACAAAACCAGACAACTGAGACTTCAGACAAGTGACAGTATATTAAGAAAATGTAATAAAAACATACGGAAGAGTATTACAAATCATCTTGAGAAATACATTCAAAACTGCATATCTGTTGTTTCACAATGCTGAGAACCAGATGATTTTCTTCCAGATCTTGAATATAACTCGTATATGAAGTACATTAGATCCTAGTGTCCGACAGAACAGGAAAGAAAATGAAGCTCTTGCAAAAAAATTCTACTTGAGAAATATTAAATAAGTCTTTAAATTAAATATACAGACTGTCAGTTGCAATTTTTGTAATCCCTGGTTGCTCTTGCACCAGGTGTCTAACTTGGAGTAACATTACATGAATAACATAAAGTCAACCTGAGCCTGTAATAAGCAGCATTTGAGATGGTCTATTCCAGGGCCTTATCTCACACGTGTGAGAACATAATGTGGTAGTTTACAATGTTCAGCAGTTGTAAAAAGTTTCCACCCTTTTGGATTATCTTAAAAAACAAAGTCTCAAGTTAAAAACTAAAAAAAAGTCTTTCATGGTAAAATTCTGTACAGAAATGTTAAGCACCACTTATGATTGGATTTTGTCTTGATGGTAAATGTTTCAATAATAAATTCTAAGTTTTGATGGTCAATATTGGTAATGTCGAGTTCCATGTAAAGAGTCATCGTTTTTGAAGGTAAAGGGTTGATGATGTTGAAGGTAAAAAGTCGGGACTGAGGGTGAGAAGTAGTTGATTTTGTTGGTAGGATTAGGTTGGGTATTGAAGGATTCCATCAGTGAGCTTTGCATCTGAAAGACAAAAGAAAGCAATGTCACTCCCTGTCATGATGTTCAATGTCAAACCCTGTCACAAGCCCTTTCCATCCTTATTAATTTACTGGGGAGTCCTGGTGAAAAGGCACAACCTAACAATTCCTTCTCAGCTGTTGTCTGTCCCTAGCCTGTTTGAGAGGTTCCAGGCTCTTTAAAAACACACTGCTGTGGTGGCCTTTTTTGAGAGAGATTCCATTATCCAGAAATTCCTACTTGGGACCCATTTATTTAATATTTTTAAAGACGGACCTTCCACAAGAGGAAGTCTGTTAACATCTATGGACTTGAGGAAATACTGAAATTCTGCTTTTCACTGCCCTCCTCATATTCCACTTGTGTTGCAAGCAGTGGATCAAAGTGGGGTTCTATCACTGTGTTTATCGGTTAACATCTCTTACACCTACACAGATAGCGCACTAATCGTAATGCCCCTGACCTGTGTAGTGGGGTGCAAGGCATTTAATTTCTTCCTATACTTTTGACTGGTTTAGAAATAACCAGAGTTGGCCACCTGCTGGCAGGAGCATTCACTAAAGCCAAAACAGTCCTAGAGTAGATGAATTGTTTCCGATTGCAAAACAGCTCTCCCTCAGCCCACTTCTCTGTATTTTTAAGCCTATGCTAACGAAAAACAACCAGAAGGAAATAAACCAGTGGCAGGCATTTAACATACTCTCCAGGTCTTAAGTTGCAAGCTTCCTCTGGGGGGTTAACAACTGCGTTTAGGAGAAGACTGAGCTATATCTGGAAGCATAGTTCAGTATTATCATCAACTGACGTTCATCTGAATAAGCAGTCAGCTCCGTATCTATGTGGTGAAACAGCTGAACATAGTATTTTATTTAAATCAATTACCCTGGAAGTCTTTTTGGGGAAGATGGTGCTTTACTACAATATTACTAGACCGGAAGTCTCATGTCATCATCTACCACTTGCACTACTGTATAAAAGCATTTAAGGGTTGTTCCAACTGTAACAAGTGTCTTTGTGAGTAAAAAGGAGTCCTGCAAACACCCTGTGGCTTTTTACCGTTCACATACTTACTGGATGGGATGAAGCCGTATTTCTTGTTGTCACCTGCCCCAGAAGGCTTCCTGTCCTTGTATGTTTTTTCACTGCCCTGGCCTCTGTATTGCTCACATAAATAGTTGCCTGAAAAAATGGGCACTCTCTTCTTCTCCTGCGTCGTCTTCTCGAGACGAGAATCTAAATATTCTGAGAAGTCTTTCAGTTTCCTGATATGTTTCTTCTTTTTCTTCTTTTTCTTCCGTTTGCGATTGTCATTGTCAATGCGGAACACAAGGCCATCCAAATCCTGAAGTCTGAGGGAAACATGCAGGTTAAAAATAGGAAAACGGATGCAGCATTTGATGCATGTGTGGAATGTTACTTATTTTATCACAGGTGATGGCTTGCTGTGTGTCAGTTATTTTGTAGTAATTTCTGCACATCTGACTTTAGATGCAACAAACATTAGCCTTCAGACTGAATGACAGTAAGTCTTGGTTTGTACACAAATCCTTACAGGGGCTAATTGTGGAATATGTGGAATTAAAAATATATAATTGTTGCAACCTAATCAGGAACAGTGCGCAGATGTGGTTCTGTCCTGGGTTCAGCACACTGGGTTTAAACCACAAGAGGTTCTTAACTTTCTGCTCGAGATCTAGCGTTCTAACGCTATTCAGCAACATCCTTCCTATGTTTGCTTGACCAACCTAATGACCAGCCTAATGACCAACCTGTAGTCAGATTATCCTACAAAAATCACTTATAAACAATGGGAAAAAGGCAGGCATGGGAAACATTCAGAAAAGAGTTAGGAAAAGAATGGCGGATTATGCTGGAATTCCTGCTTACTTGTAATCCTTCTCTCGATATTTATCTTTGGACTTCTTTTTCTTCTTGACCTTCTTATCTTTTTTCATTCTTTGGTCATCTATCTTGCGGCGTTTCTTTTCCACTTCAGCTTCGCTTCCTTCTGCGTCGCCATATTTCTTCTTGCCAAGCCTCAGTTTCTCATTTTCCCAGAAAGAGTTGTCAAATTGTGCATGAGCTGAGGCAGGTGGAGGTGCGTGCCCTTCCCGAGAGTGTTTTTCAGACTGCTGCAGAGGTAGTGAACAATGACGGAAGTTCTCTCTGTGGCTACTCAAGTGATGGGCTCCTTCCTCTCTGGAGTGAGTGTTGTGAGCCCATCTGCTCTTGCAGTGATAATCCCTATGTGATTTGTAGAATTGACTCAATTTGTCAAAGGCTTTATCAAAATGAGACGACTTCCTCTCTCTACCATCTCCTGTTCCATGAACAGAGTAATAATCCTTGTAATATCTGCATTTTTCCCATCTCCGTAATTCATCTTGGTAGTATCTTTCCCTGTTCCAAGTCCTCTCTCCTTTGGAATGGTAATACCTATTCCTGTCTTGTTCCGTTCTTTCTCTGCTGCGGGATTTATAACGAGAGTATTTTCCTGAGCTTTTGCCATTATTTGGACTGTTTCTTTCATTATAGGAAGGTCTGTACTTGCCTTTATTGCAATAATCCTGCTTATGATGATATTGCTTATTTGTTTCCATGCTGCGAGAGCGCCTCCTTTTGTAGGAACGATCATCCGCTTTGCTCCTGCTTTGCTTCTGGTCTTTACTGTCAGAGTATTGTCTCTTCTTTCGGTAGTGCTCTTTGTCAGTTTTTTTGGAGTCATGTATCTTCTCCTCGTATTTTTGCCTATTATCCTCTTCGCATTTTTTATTATTCACCCCCTCATTTTGTCTGGAGAATTGACTCTCCAGAACTTTATCCAGCTTTGTAATAGAAGAGTCATTAACAGGTGGTACCTCTACGTAGTTATTAGAAATGTCCTTTGTATCTTGGCATTTATCTGTAACACCTAGACATGCAAGTTTTTTAGGACTACATTCAATGTCAGACTTCACAGAGGAAGTTTGCCATAATTTCTCTTCACTCTCGGGAGACCCTTTCATATACGAAGGATCTCCTTTTGCAAAGAGTACAGGTTCGTTTGGTCTTCCTGGTTTGTCTTTGTCTCTACTTTCTTCAGACTCACAATGCCCAAGGTATTCATCTTCAGTATCCAAGGATTTTTTCCTGACCTTGTGCTGACCGTTGATACTGGGATGTACATTATCAGCATTTGTTATAACACTTTCAGCAACGTCTTCGGTAGCAATGGTTTCGGTGGTTTCAGAGTCTGATACAGTAAAAGTACTTTCAATCTCACAGCCAAGGTCGGAAAGAGGCATCCTGGATTGTTCATAGACAAACACTGTTTCCGTCACTACGGTTTCCATAAGATGATCACCCTCAGACTTCTGAGGTGCAGGGACACTGCACAAAACAAAAACACATTTTTCACTTGAAAAAGTTCCCCTAAAAGATAAATGTTAGGAGCAAAAATCCCTTGAAGTAAAAGATTTGGTGGCTACTGGTAAACTCTGTATGTTTCTAAACTCCCTTACACAGTTTGAAAACTGTAGCTTTCTAAAGGGACTCTGTAAGGCAGTCCCTTTAGAAACCGACTCTTACACATTCAGCAGTGCCCAGAGAAGATGGAGAAGATGTTTTTCTTCTCTTGAGCTTGCAAGTAGTACATTAAAACCCACACCAAACACATTTGTCTCCCTCTGCTCACTGCTCTGCATCGTATCAGTAGCCAAAACCACTACCTTCGCTCTCCCCAAACTAGAAAAAAGTCAACTCATTCATTTCCCTCTCTCCACAAAATGGGAGGGCACGAGGTGGGAATTTACATTGGAAAAGAAATCCAATTGTAAAAAAAAGTAAAATTATCCTATGAAGAAACAGAACCATTCTGGGAGGCATCTGCTTTAATTAATATCAGAATAACACATGTTCAGTGCTGATGTCTGCAACCCTACACGTACAGTGTGGAATTTGCTGTACTGTGTAAAGCTTTCTATTAAATAGTACTAGTTGATGGGCAAAACAATGATAAACTTGTATGAAATCTTGTTTTCATCAGAGTGTACTCAATTTACCTTGTTTTCTCTGACAACCTGTTCAGGTGGCTGTAGGCCAGGGATTCTAAGATTATTTCTTGAGGAATCGGTGACTCAGCTACAGGTATCTACAATTAAAACGCAGACATTAACAGACAAAAAAAATACTACCTTTAGAAGAAAACTGTTTTCAAAATTTCCTCATTAGTTATTAAACAAGATCACTTTGCCTTACATGCACCACTGCTATTTCACACATCACCCCTTCCCCCCCAGTATATTTATGAAACTTATGAAGTACTATCTCAGGTGAAATTTTCTGAAGTTGACATGTTCTCACATGCCAGTTCAGCTCTGCAAATTCTAATGCGACAACAGCACAAAGTGTTAACGATGAAGTTTAAATTTGTGCTGCCTGTTTTCACAGTGTTTCACATGACTTAGGAACATTTTAATGCTCTTGAATAGTAAACACACCATAGGTGAGGAGTTCTAGATGGAACAAACAACTCACTGGTTCAAGCAATCCATTTGTTTTAGCAAAGAATATCTCAGAAGGTTTAGCAGGTTGGACTTGGCAAGTAAAATCATCAAGTTTCAGTCCATTTTGTTTAGATCCATTATCTAAACTAATAGCACCATTTAGTGAATCATTTTTTGGCAGCACATGATGGGATCTCTCTTCTTCAGCACTCTCACAGAAAGAATGGGAATTCTGCAATGTGCCGACTACCTTCCCTATTACAATTCCGTTGGAAGATATGTTGCAATTCATTTTAAACACGCCATTTGACGCCTCAGATTTTCCTGAAGACTCTGGACTGGAAGCGACTGTAGCATCAGACCCGAGCGTAGGACTTCCATTCACTGCTGGCTCTACAAACATTTCATCAGGAACTTCCTGTTTGGAAATGTTAGCAGTAACTGCCACTGTAGATGCATTTGAGGTAGACTCTGCTCTGAGAGAATTTGTAATTGTGGAGGAAGGAACAGCCTTGCTGAGATCCTCATTCTCCAAAGCACTGGTAAGACAGTCAGGTTGTGACACAGTCTGACACTCAGGCAATTTGTTATGAATACTGATAGTGATCTTCTGGGCTTTTGATGGATCCGTAGTTGAAGGCCTGGTAATGGCCCAGTTTTGAATGCAAGCTGTTGGTGGAGCTGAAGATGGCCTTTTTATGGTGATACCAACAGGATTTGTATCCTCTTTTAGGGGTCCATTTCCATTTAAGCGACTTGAATTCTGTATTTAAAAAGAAAAGATTGCAAGATGAATATGTGCAATCACACCGCACTTATTAAAACATTAAATTCTCCTACTAAATATTTCTACAAATTGCCTCACCACCTAAGAAGAAAAACACCCCACTTCCAATATAAACCTAAGTCCAACAAGTGTGTTTCATTCCTGCTGCTTTTGGTTTACTGCATCTTGGTATCAAATGAGCCTCATTTTCTGAAACCAACTCAAAGAACTTAACATTCACTAAAGCGCTTCCCAAATATGTTTATTTTCCCCTTTAAACGTTCCCTGAAAACACTGCAATAATTGGTCTTGTACCCAGGACCAAGAAAAATCGTTTTCACTATCTCAGCTAAACTAACACTGAAAAAGAGTGATCTGTTGCATGATGGTTGTGAAGAAAGCTGCAGTGTGGGAGGGAAAATAAAATTCAGATGCTCTAAAACTACAAGCTCCCAAACCACATCAAAAGAAAGCAACATTATCAATTTGGTGCCATTATTTGCTCCCTGCAAATTACCTTAATCATATGAGGAGGAAGCCGTGGTCCCATAAATCCAGCCTGCTTGCTATTAGGCCCCCGCTGACCAAGGAATGAACGGGGATAAGAAGTTGCTGGTAAGTAAAAACCACGTTCTCCAAGTGTCAGATCGTAGCGCCTTGGAAAAAAAACAGTGATATCACTTTAGAGTTTTTCTTTCAATCTATTCTTGGATTAAAACCCCATCTATAATTTTATAAGAACAGATGATGTGACACAGAAGCCACATACAAAGGACTCAACCAAGACTACAAACTAAAAAAGACAGACAATGGTCTCCCTACAATGACTATTCTTGTCAGAGCAACAACTCACCCTTACTATGGTGTTATTTCTCCTCTTCTAAATTACCCCGCTACATAGAGCGGATACAGAGCAATGTACACAAGCACACCAGTTTAAGGCCAAGCAATGAAAGACAGTAAATGACAGCGGTAAGTTCAGGTTAGACAGAACTGAATTACAGAAACAGTAAACTTTTCCTAGGACAGAAAGAAAAACACTTGGAAAAAAAGAAAAGTATCAGTAACAGGAAAGTAAATATATTCTGAACAGATTCAGTAGTCGGTATTACCTGATATAAAAAAGTAAATAAGCTTGCTGATTGAGAACCGTTTTGATATCAGAACGCTCCACTATGGCATCATTCATTCGATACCAAAATCCATTGCCGGCCTGCAAACAAAAGACAGTGGCGTCTTCAGACAAAATGCATGATGTCCAAATGACATCACAGGCGGAACACTACAGCACGAAACGTACCAAACAAATCAAACGGAACACATCATTCAACCTTTCTCCATCAAAATGGTGGTTGCCAGTAACATTGATTTTCTTTGTTTATTTTACCCTGTTAGAAATCAAGCTGATACCCACCTTTATGAAGCAGATATAGTGTCCTGCATTGCAGTTGAAACCAGAATGAACAAGAACTGCATATAAAGCGTAGATGAGTGGTTCTCCCATTGATTGGGACATATACGCTCGAAGATCCAAATATTCAGGATATTTCACATCCTAAACACAGGACAGGAAGATTCAAAAATTATCCTGAAACACTTCAAGGAACAGCCTAACAAAAACCCTTCTCAAAACACAGGCTAGGATCACACAAATATAGTCTTGATTCATTTAAAAATACCTATTCTCAGAAACAATATTTCATAGTTGGAGCTGCAGAGAACTGTTTTCTGCAGAATTAGCTCTAAGAGTGAGGTATACTCTTATGGTTACTGTAAGCCATAGTTGTTAGATTGACTTTTCTTAGACTATTGTTATTAGTCAATGGTTACAGCCTGCAAATATTAACAAGTTTTAAATGATATTTTCTTGGGGAAATCTCCCATTCCAAGAAGATAAAGCTGCTTTACAGCTGCAAATATACCTTGTTGATCTTGCCACCAGTAAAATTTGCAAATCTTTTCAGTGATATTGTAAGAACTTTGGAGGAGCGATGTATTGTGTACCTCTTGGAGGCAGGAACCATGTTTTTACACCTTAAAAATAAGCACAGACAAATGTTTAACAGCAAAATTCCTCACCCTCCCAAAACTCAAACAAGTTTTCATCTCTCGCACAGGCTTATGAACCCATATGCTGCACTTCACATTTGTTAATAGACAGAAGGTAACAGCATGTAAGCGGACAGCTCTACAAAACAAAGGGCTTACAACATAATCCTTTAACACAGAACACTAGGACCTTCAGCCAGCTGATGTTGCCTCCCACCCCAAATCGTTGTCCTTAGCTCTGTGCTTCAGCTCACCACTACTTAGCAGACATCCCCTTTAACTTCTGGCCAGACGAATATTTCTGTGTGCAACCTCACACTGACGAAGGCTAATAAACCCCAGCGCAGGCAGCAGTAGGAATAAAAGTCTAATATGAGCTAATGGCCACAATTCTTCTATTTCCAAATATTCATGTGACACATTAAACGCCTTCTCTTGGACTCAGATGGAATTAGTAGGAATCTTACTTGCTACACTTATAGCTGTTTTCTCCGTCCAGTTGTTCAGGTTTCACAAATTGTTCTAGAGCCTTAGTGATAGACGTAACGGTCTGGATGAATAAGAAGGTAGAGCACTAAGTCACTGGAAATGCAAAATTTCAAACAATTCCTGGTATAACTACGAGAGAACCTTGCTAGTTCATCCTCAAGTGACCTACTGTCAACCGGCAACCACTGTGAAGGAGGCAGAAACCTCAGAGTACGCCGAGCATTTACCTCCTGTGGAAATGATGCTACTTTGAAATAAAAGATAAAGTTTGCAGTGCCACAGACACCATCTGTACTATGCTACGGCATCAATAATGAGAACAAGCAAACCCATCAGCCTAACGATGGATGTATAGATGCTGAAGCAGAATAATCGAGAAATGTGAGAATACAGGTGTTTGTGTAGATGTGATTACTGTTTTTACAGGTTAAACCCACTGCAAACATGGAGAGCATCTAGATGCATTCCACACAAGACCAAAGCCCAATCCACCCCCACTCAACACCAAGCTCTTTCCTTTTAGCAGTGTATATTTTTAAGTAAAATGCCTTCATTTGGAAAGCTTTACAGGTCTTCATACAGCTCGACCCATATTCACAAAACATCTTACCTTTATATCCAAAGTAATATCAAGGAATGGTTCATACGTATCAGAAACGGCTTTGCAGTTCAAGCATTTTACTGGAATCAAAATACAAATGCTTAACACTGACTGGACAAATTTAAAGTCTTCATACATATTATTTCAGTCAAAGCACAAAGTCCTTTACTACAGACAAACAGACACAGACCAGTTCAAAGGACAGGAAGATTTTGAACAAGTACCTCGGGATCTTAGGTATCCTCCAAATATTTGATAAATAAGTGTGGTGGCTTGAGAAGATATGTCCAACCTGGAAAGAAATGATAAATCAGACCTCGGATGATGCAAGGCTCAGATTTAACTCTTCAAACAGTTTTTACCAAGGACAGTCATTTTAATGTAGTATAGTAAAGAAAGGAGGAAAAGGGGCTAGAGAACATCTAAGGGTTAAATAATTTGTTTATGCTTACTTGGTGCTTCCATTCAAGCAAGCTTTCTGCAAAGCATCAACAGTGAAGGACAAGAATTCATGTGCATCCTCTTGACTGCCGTAATGGAAATGCTTTCCTATTCCTAATAAATAAGAAGGTGGTTATATTTATCTCCTAGAAAATGAAAGAAAACTCACGTTTCTAAAAGTATCAAAATCACTTCTATGCCTGAAATAGTGCTTTGAAAAGTTACCAAATGTATGAAAAGAAAACCATCTGAAATGACTTACTTTTAAGGCCATTGATAACAGATGTAGGTTTGATAGCATTGTTAGAGCAACACAGGACCTGGTTAATGTGAGCTTCCAATGTACACATCATACAGAAGCCTTTTTCATGACCTGAAGAGTGAAAGAAGCAACATTCTAGCCAAATATGCATTGCTACAAAAAACACAAACCTCAACCTTATGAATTAGTAGTTTTTAAGCTACAGGTACAATGTCCTCTCTTCATGTACATTCTCTTCTCCTAAGGTGTAAATATCCCAAGAGTTTTGTGACATTTTATTATGCAATCCTGTACAGAATTTAAATGACGACTAAGTATGTATTAAAATGCATTTTCTGATGAACATTTTCAGTATTGCAATGACTTTTTTTTTTTTTTTTTTGCAGACTGATATGAATGTGAACTCTACAGGCTGCAGAATGTATGACAAAACACTACTGACATTGATGATACAGCACTAAGAGAGAATGCGTGCAATTTTCAGCATACTGCTGTTAGGTGAGCTACATGACACAGAGCTAAGAAGCCTCTGGGAGAAAGGAAAGGTTAAAGGAAGGTATGTATAAGTATTTCTGCCCTCCTTTTTGCAACAGGGTTCTTAATTGGAAACATTTTTATCTATGTCAAAAAAAACCACAGTTAAATTTCTAGGAATAAACACTAAGATGCCAAACCAAAAAGCATGCATGTACCTTTGTCAAAATAGACCTAGAAGGATATGAAAAGAGGCTCCTATGCCAAATCAGTTCAAGCATAGAATGGAAATGTGAAGAACACAAATTCAAAGGTTCAAAAAATACAAACTCTTAACTAGAATAAAACCAGTCTAAATTTTAATACTGCCCCACACAAATTTCCATTTCAGGTCAGCAGAAATTAGCTCGTAGTGCTTTCTAGGGTGTGGGCTTTTTTAATGGGTCAATAGTGAACATGTCATTTATTGCAGTACTAGCACATGACAGTATCTAGGCTGCAGAGACGAAGATGCTACGATGCCAACATCCTGCATTTTACCACCTTTCTACCAGCAGGAAACACAAATGCCAAATGTTCATCAAATGCCTTCCTTTACAACGTACTTCGTTATTCACACAAAGCAAGAAATGCTCTTTATTTGCAATTTTACCATTGGGCATTAAATGAACAAATGCACTTCATATGCCATTCCGAGCTTCCTGTTAAATAAGCATGGAATCACAGAATCCTTTTGGTTAGAAAAGGCCACAAAGATCATGTTCAAACCAGCTTTTACAGGTAAAACGGGAAAGCCACACATTTTCTCCGCAGAATCCCTGCTGCTCTTTCACTCTTGGAGCAGCCCAACATACTTATAATCATGTGAGAAAGTACTCACATGACTTGGTGTGTTCAAGTGAAAGCATGTAATTGGCGAGAGGAGGCGTATAGGTTAAACACTGTAGAGTAGAATTAAGGAAACATGTATTGCCCAGATTCTGCAGTCCAACTCCAACACTTAGTGTCTGTTGCCAATCCATGCAAATTTTCTCAGGTGGAAAAAGAATTCTTTGTGGTGGGGCAATTCCATCATTAACAACTGCAAGAAAATCAGATTTCAAAAAATATTTACTGTTTCTGTTAGAAAAAGGATGTTTAAAAGGTACCATTCTACACGAGCAGCCAGAAGAACCAGGTCTACTCCACAACGCAAAAACGTGAGGATGGCTTAAACGCTGCCACTTGAATTTGCAGGTCAACACAGTGTTTTGAACCATAATTTATTCATCTTTTTCAATTCATTCAAAGCAAGACAAACTACAACTGACTGTAATAACTTCGGCCAGGTTTCCCTCCATCTACACCCTTTAATCTGAGTACTGATTCAATCATTGTGTTACTTGTTTTTTTTTTCTTATTCTACCTCAAACCAAAAACTTACTCGTAATTCTATGGCAATAAAGGTAAGAACTATAATGGAAAATCAAGTGAGTAACTAGGAGTACAGGTAACCCTACAGATACCAGTCCTCTCCCTGAGCAGGGTTAGCATTCAAAGGCTTGTGAATAATGGAAGCCATAAACACAAAGGTAAAATGTACTTTTCTCTGCACAGCACAGAAGACCTGGCTAAGTCTGTGGATTACAAGAATTTCCTCAAAACTGACTATTACAAATAGATTTTAAATACATAAAACTATAGGTTTTCCAATACCAGTCCCTTCAGTTGCCTTAGGGGACTCACAAAATTGCAGCCTAGTGCTGAAGGCTTTATTCATCACAAGCCTGCCTTATATCAGTGCAACAAATGAGAACTGCATTTTCTAACTTTTGGGGTTTTTGTTGTGAAGAAAAGGGGGGAAAGACAGAAGACACACTTACTTAGCTCTCTCTGGCCAAAAGGCTTAGGTTTTTGAGATGTCCTACAATAAATAGAGCCTCCTGGTCCTTTGTCCATAGAGACTTTGTTTGGATCTTCTGTGGGTGGTACACGGCCCAAGTTCATGGTGCGTGATGTCATTTTCTTCGTACGGGGTTTGTTTGATTTGTCGGGCCGCCTTGATGACGAGTTTTTAGATGTTGAGGATTTTGGCTTGTTAACTATGGTCATTGTTCATATCTGTAACAGAGACAAAAGTTCTGGTTGACTTAAGAATATCAAGAAGCATTTCATAAGGAAATCCTGTTACTCAATATCAGAGACATAACTTGAAGAACTAAAGAACTGGTAAAAATTATTATAAAACCCCAAACAACAACCAAAGAAAAACCCCACTCACAAAGCTGTGTTTAAGTGGGGAGTAGAGATTACCCATTTGTCTCATGACAAAACATTTGCAGGAGTGACTAAAGCAATAACATACACAAAAATACCTTAGTAGAAAAAAGCAACAGGAAACTACTACAGGTAGACATGAAGACCAGGCACTTTTATGTTTCTTAACTGCAAACTATACTTCCACGCTGCAACATTACTGTAAGAGAAAAAAACAAACCCAAACCACCTACAAAAAAAAAAAAAATATAACCAACCCACCCCCGAAAACAAAACAAAGCAAAAAGAAAAGAAATAAGGAACATCCCGAACATACACACGCCACACTTTACTTTCCTAAAACACAATCCAGCTGCCAAGCCAGGAAACTCGCAGTTATTTATCGCTTTAACCTTAACTGGAAGCCAGTTCGGCACACGAAGTAGAGAGGCACTTGAAGCTCTCATTCCCCGCTGTCGGAGCCCAGCAACGCTTCCTGCCACTACTGGCGACCCCGAGATTGAGGACCACGAGTGGCCTGGTCTGTGACCTCACAGGAGTCTCCCTGTCCTCCCAAAGCTTGTCTGCCCAGTGTTTCACCGGGGTCTGAGGGTCTGCTTCTCCCGGGTCGCAAGAGAAGATCTCAAAGTCAGCTAAAGTCGTAATACTCTAGCTCGAAATGGAACTGTCCGGCCTTCCGTCACCAGCGCTAAGCCTGAAGCACCTACCCGCTCACCCCCCGCTCTGCCTTTCCGACAGGTTTTGGTTCCTAAGAGCAGTTTGGCACCGCTGCTCTCACGGACCGGCGCGGCACGCAGCATTTCCGCGCTTGGGAACGGCAAAAGCCCAAACACAGCCAAACCAAACCGATGCCGACACGGCAGGCGAGGGCGGGGCACGGCTCCGAGGGATCCCTCGCTTCACCTCACCTCACCTCCCCCTTCTCCCTCCACCTCACGCTACGACCCACCCCTGCCGAGCACCTCCTGCACGCGGCAACCGGCGCCGCGGGGTCAGGCCCAGCACCGCCCCGCCTCAGTGCCCTCAACCCCTCCCCAGGTGTCGCTTTCCGGGCTCGCAGCTCCAGGACCGTCCGGAAGCAGGAGCGCAGCAGCGGGCGGCCTGGGGCGACTCTGTGCTCATGGCAACTAACGGACGGGACGTGAGGACGGCGAGAAGTGGAACCCTTCCAAGCGTTCGATTCCCCGCGGGAGGCGGCAGGCCCCGCCAAGAGCCGCCGCCTCTTCGCCAAGCAAGGAACAACGCCGCTCGTGCCGCGGGACCTGAGGATCCCGGCCGCCCTCCCGCCGCCTCCGGTAGGCGGGGAACCAACGCCGAGTCCCCGCGCCAGCAGGAGGAGGAGAACGAGAAGGGAGAGGCAGGTGGCAGCGGGCACCAGCGGGACCTCGGCCGCTCGTGAAAGCGGGCGCACAGTGGCGGCAGTGCGCCGGGCATCGCCACCTCTTGCGGCGCCAGGAGGGGGCTGATCCCGCGGGCCCAGGGTGTGGTGGCGGGGCTGGGTCCGTTCGCCGCATGCTGGGGAACGCCACGCCACGCCACGCCACGCCCCGCCCGGGGGTCCCACCTCCACCGGCTGCCCGCCATCCGGGAGAGCAGTGGCCGTGTGCCCGGCCAGCGCCCCGCTGGGCTGGGCTGAGCCCAGCCGGCTGCTCCCTCCGGTCGCTTTTCCTTCCTTTTCCCGGGCCGGCCCCTCCCCCCGGTCCATTGATTTCCAGGGAGGGAGACGCACGCGGCAATGCCGGTTTTTGCCAGGCCGCCGCCAGGCCCGAGTCCGTCCTCCCCCCAGCACCCCAACCCCATTACCTGGTTCGGTCTCTCTTGACTCGGCGCTGCCGGGTCCCCCTCGCTGCAGCCCCCGCCTCAGCCCGGTCCGCTCCGCCTACAGTTACAGCCGTCGGGGAACAATGACGTCCCTCCGCCGGCCTCTTGCATCCGGGGCCCGGCGCCGGCCGGGCAAGCGGGCGGAGGGAGGAAAGGAGGCGGTGGCGGCGGCGGGGGGGAGAAGCGAGCTCCTCCGGGTCACACGGGGACCAGCACCGCCCCTGTGCCGCTGCCGGGAGCCGCTAGAGGGGGCTCGGCGACCCCCGGTCAGGGCGAGAGGCCCGATGGCACCGCGGCGAGGTGCTCCCGCGGGGAGGAGGAGGAGAAGGAGGTGGTGGTGCAGGCCTAAGTGCTCAGCCGGACGCTTTGTGGTCGATGCATGGAGCCGCACCCCTCCGCGGAGGTGAAGGGTCTCGGCCAGTCCCACTTCGTAAGGGGGCGCCTTGTTTTCCCACAGCGAAGCTTCAGTACGAGCCCCTTCCTCGGTTGTAGTCTTTTTGCTCTTTTCTGCCTTCTAGGCTCTAATTTGCCCCTCACCGATTTATTTCTCCAGTTAACGTTTTATTGCTCTGCGCTCAGAGAGGCGGGCAGGCCCCGCTGGCCGGAGCCAAGGCCGCGACCGCAGCGCCCGGCATGTGGAGGGGCGGATTCCCGCCAGGGGCTGCGGCTCCCTGCGTGCCGCCGCCCGCCATCGAGTTCCCTGAGGAGAGCCCGGAGCCGCGGTTTGACGGTAAGCGGGGTTGGGTGCAGCAAGGCGGCCCTGTTTTCCGCGGGGAACGTGGGGAGCAGGGAGCCCCCCCCTTCCTTCCTGCGGGTGACGGCTGGGCGCCCAGCTCCCCCCGGGTTAGGAATGCAGGGGAGAACGACCGCCTTCCTCTTTACTCATCGTCTTGAGGAAGCGGCAGCCGCGGGGATGATGCAAGAGCGGGCAGGCCCCTAGTAGGGAGCGCCCTGCCCCGCAGCCAGGGCTCCCCCCTTCGGGGAGAGAGAGCCCGGTCCTCTCCGTTAGCTTCTGTATGCGCTTATAAAAGTAAATTAGGTTCCTAATTAGTGTCTTAAGCTTTTCTCTAAGTGGCTGCTTGTGCGGTGCCTTTTCGTGAGCCGGGGCTGTGTGTGTGTTGATGTGTGGTTTTGATGTGAATAGCACATACTGAGACCTAAATTCATTCTTCTGACGCCTTTTCCAGAATCGGATGTGCCCGCGGAGCTTCGAGTTGCAAACGGGTCACAGAAGTTTGTGAATTTTACTTCGACGATCCAAAACCAGCTGCTGCTTGTGTCACTGCTGGAGCATCTGTGCCACATGTACACGCACAACCCTGTTCATTCGAGGTGTTTGTTCCGAAGTTAGTAAGAGTAGTTCTTTCCTGTCTCTTAAACTGTCTTACTGCAATATATGCCAGATGGTGGTGAAGCACTGGAATAGGTTGCCCAGGGAGGTTGTGAATGCTCCATCCCTGGCAGTGTTCAAGACCAGGTTGGACGAGGCCTTGGGTGATATGATTTAGCGTAAGGTGTCCCTGCCCATGGCAGGGGGGTTGGAACTAGATGATCTTAAGGTCCTTTCCAACCCTAATTATTTTATGATTCTGTGTAGAATTACAGGGTAATATCAATGGAAAGCTGTAGGTCTCATCCTATTGGGCCAAGAGTAATTTGGAGAAGAGGACAAATACCCTGAACCAACTCAAATGGGACTGAGGATGTGTCTTGGTTTTGAAAATAAGAACAGAATGTTGCTGTAGATGCAAGGATCAGACAGTTCTATAGCAGCCAAATCATGTGAGTTGCGTCATGTGAGTAGCAGGTAAATTATCTCTTAAATCTGATACAAAACCATGAGGAATTTAATAAGAATGTTTATCAATAGTATATAATAATACAGCTACTAAGCTGTAGCATAGTCTTCACTAAATCTTTCAAAATTGCTTTTTGTGAAAATTAAATACCTTTAAAAGTCCTTTATTTTCCCATAAGGAATTATGATATAATTCAGGGAGCTTGGATTTTGAGGTGTGAAGCGTTTCTTTTGAAATGCGTCTTTTTGGTATGTGAGTTATCTTAGGTATTTTGTTCACTTAGGCACATATTTAATGCATTTGAGAAACAATCTCTCAGGTTTTTCTCCTATTGTATGTGACTGTAGAAAATAAAATCTGATACTTCGCTTGTACTTAAAATGGAAGCCATTTATAGCATCCAGTAAGAACAGTGCAGGCAACTGTCAGTTTTTTGTTCTTGAAGTAAGATGTAGATGTTTGGCCCCTGGTCTTAATATTCTGTCTATGAAGACAAAAAATGCCAAGGAAAAAAATCCAAAAAACAACCCAACTAAATTTTCTCCTTTCGGGAGAGGAACAAAAAAATGCAACCTGGGCATCTTCCAAAGTATGTAACTGCTTGGCTTCCTGATGTACTTCTGTGGAAGATTACATTTCTCCATTGGCACAGTTTAAACCAGTTTCCCAAGTGGAATAAACCCGATGAATAAAAGAAAAACATGCTGCAGTAATGCTGTCTGATTTGTGGTTTTGACTGGTATATTCGTGTTGGCAACCATGGGGTTTTTCGTTTTTTCTGCTGTGCGTAACTGTGTTCATAAGGCTTGTGTAGCAACATTCCTAATTTGTTATATTTTCACTTTCAATAAACTTTATCTCCTTTAAAAGATAAAGTAATATGCTGGTTTTTTTTATATACTGATACTAAAGAAGCATCTTAAAAAAAACCTCTTAGAGGTGAGTTTATTTTAAGACCTTGGAACTCCTAAAACTTTCAAGGGCATTTTTGTAGCATCTTTGCAGTTGCACCAAGCTCCAGTGTTAGGTTTTTGTCTGCCTTGGCATTGTTTCTGTTCAAGCGAGAAAGATGTGGTGCTTGGGAGGCAGTGTGTGCACAAATGTGTGAGTTTGTGGATTAGAAAATCTTGACATTGCCACTTTTTATTACAAACATGTCCTTGTTATTGTAACACACTTTGGATTTCTCTTTTCACTGGTCAGAATTTTTCCAGAGGTAACAAGTGGATGCTTGCATAATTTATCTGCTAAGATAAGGTAGGGGAGATGCAGTTGTGACTACAAAGGGCATGGCAAATAACTGTATTATGCAAAGGGATTCCCACAGAGCAGCTGTAGTTTGGATTTAATTAGTTTTTCTTGCAAAGGGTATGGGAAACTGTATCAGGAGTGACTGTTCAAATTTTCAGATGCACTATCTTTCAAATAAGGTTTCTCACTGTTTACATGGTCTTACTGGCAGGCTGTATTTAATATGACCTTTCTCTGTTCCTTTGTACAGTACTTCGTCAGGCTTTCACAAGAACAGGGATGCTCTCCCCTTTTGCTTTCTGTGATGAATTTAGTACTGTAAGACTGCAGCATAATAGAGCCATTACGGAACTAATGAAAGCAGCTAATCGACAAATACTCAATGGGGTAAGCTTTGTTAAATTTCTTTAGCAACCTCTGCATTAAGGGGTTAACACATCATTGCATCCAAGGAGGCTTTTATTTAGGGGTTCTTTTAGTGTTGGATTGGGTCTTTTTGATAATTATACAAAATGGTATTCCCGTTCTACCTTCAGTGTTTGAGATAGCAAGGTTTGGTTCTGTAGGTGCAACCCAAAGCTTTGGAAGCTAGCAGTATTTTGTCCTTATTAAATAATAAGAATTTTTTAAAAAGTTAAAAAATCCTTATAAGCGCAGGTAAAGTGTTTTAAATATTGCTACTTTTTGGTTGGTTTTTTATTTTACAATGGACAGACATCCATTTTCACTTTTAACTGTTCCAGCTGATTATGTCAATATCCTTCTATTTATATTGTGGAGAGCATAATTTGTATAGTGTGACGTGCTTCAGGCTGAATCAGATTAGTTTGCTTATCTCGCTGCTTGAACTGGTTAATTTTTCTTAAGCACGTTTTAGAGCCCCCGTTTTATCCTGTTTGCCAGCAGAACTCTAAAAGGGCAGTAATCTCTCCAGCAGAGAGATGTTAGTAGATGACTGGTGGGATAATAATACTTTAATTTGGTGAAGCTCTCTGCAGAATGTGAATGGCTATCAGTAACGCATTTTCTTTTAAGAATATGGTTGTAGTTTGTATTTTGATAAAGCTTTCTGTGCTGATGGCATGGTAGACATTATTCTGTATGTCATGTTTTCATGTTGGATTTTGTTATTTTACAGGAACTTGATAATGGAGATTCTCATGCAGTTGGGTATGTATTCAAAACATTTAGAAATATTAAACTTAATTCCCCCCTTAAAAAGCTCCATTCTGAATTTAATTAATGCTGCATTTCATATTTTGGCTGTGAAACAATTTGAGAATTGCTCCAAACTCTCAAAATGATCTGGGGAAAATTCCTTCTTCAGCACAACTCTCACAGTTAGTGCCACCCTTCAGGAAAACAAGATTTCTCAGGCATAAACATAAAGAAAGCATCTTAATACTTCTATTAACATAGAGTGTGATTTGTAGCACATGTATGTGCTGTTGTAGTCTGCTGGTTTTCAGTATTCACTGAAACAGCAAACTGTGCAGCATGGTGATGTCGAAGTATTTGCTGCTTCTTTTCATAATGTAAATAGTATTTCTAGGTTGTGTATGCCTGTAGCCTTTATAGTACCTTACCTGTAAGTTGTAACTTAGTTTAATGCAGCCTATTTTTGACTAGGGAAAAAGAAGTTCTCTTTGAAGCACAGTCTTCACGATACTTGAATGAATTTGATGAGATTGTGAGGCTAGGAAGAGGAGGATATGGTAAAGTATACAAGGTATTCTTTACCTTCTGTTTATAACTGATCAGTTTATGTCTAGTTTTTCTTTGAAATTTAGAGTTACTGTTTTGGCTGGTTTTTGTTTTGCTTGGGTTTTATTTCTAATGGAAAATGAAAAACACTTATTTTCCAATAGAACAAGTACAAACCTGCACATTTGAAAGATGTTGGCATTTAATTTTGAAAGATGCTCAGTTGCTGTTTCTATTTTCTGTTTGTAGGAAGCAGGATGTATCAGATGTTTTACTTCATGTGTTTTGACCGTTTTTAAGTGAATGAAAAATTCTTGTGTGAAGTACCGTGATATATATTGACTTAAAAACCAGCCACAGGAACTGATTAGTC